CTAACTGGTGGCTTCCAAGAAACAACAATGCACTAAGGGCATTAGTAAATCCAGTGTTCTGGGGAGTCACAGGACTGAGGAGAGGCACCATCTGCAGTGTGAGAGGGATGAGATATATAAAACTTCCTCTCAGACAGGACCATTCTACATTCTAATTAATACTTCAAGTTTGTGTATGTTTAAGGCACCATTTTATCACTGCTCAGTCTATGCTAATTTGCAATCTTATTCTTTGAACATTAGTGGGAAATCTTTCCATATATAGAAGTTTCTGAAAAAAAAAAACTAGTATTACTCATGATCATGACCTACATTTTATGTCATCACTTGGCTCAAGCTCCTAACAATGAGGAACTGATGCTATGCTTGGACTATGGATGACTGAAATTACATTTTACATTTTTACTTAGATAGCTATACAGCTGTGGGTCATTTGCTGGGTTTCCCCAGTAGAGTTACCAAAAAATGAAGAGTATTAATTGAAAATGAAAATATGCTAGGTGTTTTTACTTACTGTCTTCAGACTTAAACATCTGAAGTGCTACCTTTTCTTTCTGGGACAGCAAAACACAAACACACTGTTAGTAATTTATTTTAAAAATGAATAGCAATCCAGGTGCCACTGGCTCACACCTGTATACCTAGCTACTCACAATTCAAAGGCAGCCCAGGCAGGAAAGTCTATGAGATTCTTATCTCCAAAAATGCAGGAAGTGGAGCTGTGGCTTAAGCAGTAGAAGACTCCTTGAGCAAAAAGGCTCAGTACCCAGGCCCTGAGTTCAAGCACCAGGACAGGCACAAAAAAGGGCAAAACAATCCTTCTATTTATAAAAGTACATACTAAACGCCATCCAGCTTAGGTCCACTAGGTGGGTTGGAGAATGACTATGAAGTGACCAAGTCTGAGGGTTCTGACGGGTGGGGACCTACCTGGACCTTACCTCCACCCAGCTCTATACCAATGTCCAATATCTGAGGCCATGGCTCTGTGCTACCCCACTTACTGCCTTGGAACAAGGGCAAGGTGGCCAAGAACTTGAGCAAGCCATGTCTCACCAAGCAAATTCATGTGAGACATGATCCCAGAGGTATGTGCCTTTGCTCTGAATAAACAGTGTTCATTGCCCCTGCTCAGGTTGCCCAAGGACAAGCAGGTCCTCAAGTTCATCAAAGAAACATATCTAGGCTAAAAGAAAAGGAAAAGGGCTAAGCAGCCATGAAGGACTGAACTTGTGAGTAATGAAACCTTTACAGAAAACAACTATAAAACATACTGAAATATTTATGGATGACCTGAGACCCCCTTAAAAGTAGTATGAAGGTATGGTGCTAGTGGCTCATGCCTACAATCCTACTCAGGAGGCTGACATCTGAGGATCATGATTACAAGCCAGTTCAGGCAGAAAGTCCATGAGATTTTTTAATCTCCAATTAACCACCAATAAACAGTATAAGTAGAGCTATGGCTCATGTGGTTCAGTATTAAGAGTTGAAAGGGGAAAAAAGCTAAAGAACAGCACCTAGGCCATGAGTTCAAGACCCAGGAGCAATGAGTGCATGCACACATACATACAAATACACACACACACACACACACATGCACACGTTATAGGAAGGCTAGTATATGGCTTAACAAGAACATTTGCATTGCATATAGAAGGCCCCACATACAAATACACACACACACACACACACACACACACACACACACACACACAC